AATACACTATAAAACATAAACTTGAAAATATAATTTATAATAGCAATAAAAACTTTAAGAGGTACGTAAGAATAGTTTTGTGAAAACCACTGACAAAGTTTATTCCTCTCTGTTTTTAGTTGGGGAAATGGAAGCTCTGAGGCGGGAAATGACTCTTCGAAGGACATCCCCGATAAGCCAGGGCAGTTCTGGATTTTTCAGTGACACCAAATCCTAGAGATCTGAGTGTTGAATAATTTTGGTATTGTCTTTCTTTTGTTAAAAAACAAAACAAAAACAAAACTCTGAATTAAAAAATATTTTTCTGATTGTAAATTCAATATTGATTCTAAAAATATAGGAAATTTGGAAGAACATTCAGTAATGTCACTAACATTCCCAAGCTACTACCTAGAGAGCTATGATCAATGATTTTCTACATTTCCTTCAAAATATTTGTCTATATTTATGTTTCTAAAAGTAAAATTAGGATTATATCATGCATATCATTATATTATGTTTCTCACACATGTTCCTGTAAAATCACTTAGTCTTTTTGAATTTGATCATATAGCCCCCAATTATGCTGATGAAGCATATGTCATTTATTTAACCTATCAATTTAAGTTTTCAGAGAAAAACCAAGTATCAGATCTGGGTGTGATAATCATTGGATAAAAGTTAAACCTCAGAGCCAGCTCACGCACACGCAGACTGCAGCAGGCGAGCTTCTGAGGCCGGCGGTTATCCTGGTGGAGAAGAAATGGCAAAATCAACGGCCCCCCAGGAAGGGGACAGAGATCTGGTTTGCAGGAGCGAATGGGATTTTGAAGGAGCCTATTTTTGGAGACAAATTAGGTCTGAGACTTTTACCTAATTCCCCACCCTCTGCAGTCTTGGCTTCCTTCCTGGTGAAAAGAGGACAATATGGTGCCCAGACTCTAGTAAGACCAGCTCCTTTAGGCCTCAGAGCCTTTGCACCGGTCCTTCCTTTCTGCTGAAGTCAGCTCTGCCCTTATTCTTCCTATCTGGCCGCCCATGTTGTCCCTTCAGGCCTGGCCGCCCTTCCCTGCCCTGCCCTGCCCACCAGGCCTGACAGGTGATCTTATTAGAGTCGCCTGCCCCACGGAGGGCAAGGCCAGGAGGTCCTCTGCCACAAGCAGAGTGTCCAGGTCTTTCTTGGCCATTGCATCTGAAGCAGAGTCCTCCCTTTATTCTCCATCTAATTCCTTTTATCATGCGCCTCCCAACACATCATAACTTGTCAGCATTTTGTCTACCGGCTGTTTCTTGGGTCTTGTCTGTTTTCTTCTCTACTTAGGACCCCCTCCATCTTGCTGGCCGCTGTACCCCCTAGGCCTGGCATATGGCCGGGACCCCACGCATGTTCCTGGGAAGACAACGGAGCAGCAGTGGGGACCCTAGGTCCGAGGGCGCACGCGGTGAAGGTTGCGGGAGGGCTGGGCTGATCCCAATTGCAGGCGGAGGCAGGACGTCGGGGCGGGCTCGGGGCGGGGCCTCGGGTTTCGGGGCGGGGCCTGGGGGCGGGGCCTGGCTGCGGCGGAGCCGGCCTGACTGCGGCCCGGCTGAGCCCTGGGAAGTGC